AGTGTTAACCTCTTGCGCTCAGGAGTTAAATTAAGGGTCGTTCCGGTCGACGCTTTTTGCTACCGGCACTTTCCGATATTTTTCCAATGCCCACTTGATCTGTCGAGAATATCGACTCATTGTGTTTCCCCGCCATTGTTAAATCTCGAACGCGTCAGTGTTTTCGCTGTTTCGTTGCTTTCGACAACTCACGGGTTGCTTTTATTTTAAGCCTTATTTAACTGATTCTTTGTTTTCCACATATATATACACAGAACCGGTAGAGTGATTAGATGACAAACGAGTTGGACTGCACGATTAATTTGAATCATCATTCGTTAGTTTATTTTAGTCTAAAATGGAGAAAATGTGTCTCTTTATCGGTGAAGGTGGTGGAATACTGTTTACATGACACACATGTTATATTACATTTATATTGTTGAATGAGAAATTATAATATTGATGTTAGGTTACTGTTAACTGATGTTTACTGGGTTTACTTTTGAATAGTCTCGTATAGTTTTTTCTTGCGCGTGTCAAGGGACTTAGCCCAAGTGAAACGAAATGATCTATCCAGATAGAGAGACAGAGAAATCTGCATCTATCGTTGTTTCGGCCGTGCCTAAAAACAGCAGCAACAATGCGGAGAAAATAATCGAGGCGCGTATTACCGCCTGTAATGATTCACAGACCGTGAATAGAGAATAGTCATTAAGCCGCAGCGCCGATGTCATTGCACCCTAGATCCTAGAGGACGAGCACGGGTGCAGCCGAAGGGAAGACGAAAGTTGGAAGTACACGTAGACGGCTGAAAATCTGTCGTCTGGCAGCCGGCCAAATCTTCGCGGCTTATCTTCGGCCTCGTCTTCATCCCTCATCCTCACGGTGGACGGAGCTTTTCCGCAGAAGACGAAGCCTATAGGTCTTTCTTCTTCTGCCTGCCGATGCCGCGCTTCGCGGAAGCGTCCGCATCGTCGCGCTGCTATTCTCGAAGTCCGACGGTTTTATAGGTTCTTCCGTTTTCTTCCACACGCGCCGGCCCTAGGCAACGTGTTTGGCTACCAGAAATGTTCGATGATGGCAGGACTTTGATTATTATTCCGTAATGTTTGCGTTACACCGCCAATGTGATAAAACGTGGAATTTTTCCGGCAGCGCGGCACGACGCGCGTGAAGCGTGAATTTTTAAGATATAATTTTTACGATAGTTAAAGGAAAAGCACCAAAACCGACGTAAATTCAATTAAATTTTAGAAGCCTAAGAAGATACATGAAGTTTGCAGAAAAATGTTTATATATCGTGGTTAGATTTTCCGTTAGGTATGGTGAAATAGAGTAGTAACACACATTCATATGGTATTTAAATTAACGTAAGATTTATATGTACATCAAATACAGAAAGAGTAGCGTGATTGTGATAATACTTACGCAACATAATATTTTGAGGATCGCCTCTGCGTTATTATCGCTTATCAAGATCATTATCGATCATTTTTTAATATATTCATTCATTAAATCGAAACAAAGCGAAAAGATACCGCACACAAAAGACATTACGATCTTCCCCCACGACTGTTCGCCCCAACTCGCCCCGTTACCTTCGTTACTTGAAGCGCTCGATCATTCTTCTTATCGATAAACACCACTCGATGCGCCTCGTTGTTGCAACGGGGAGACGAAATCGACGACGAACGTCTGACTTTGAGGAAAGTTCGCTGAGGGGAGGGAGATGTGCGAGCTTCTGAATTCCAGTCTTTTCGGCTTACCTTGTCGCGCCTCGCGGATGGCCGTGGAATAGAAGAGAGGTGGTTTACCCGAAGAACACGACAGCTGCATCGAGCCACCAGCCTGAAAATAGCACAGCAATCCCATGCCGAGGCCGGAGGAGAGGTGAAGGAGTCGAAGCCCTCTCTCACTCTTCCTCTTTCTCTCTCTTTCCCCACTTCTCCCTCCTCTTCGTACATACCCCGGCCCGCTAAAAAGCCGCCCACCTACGAGCCTTTTAAATAGCGATCGCGTGCTTTTTCCCTTTTTTTTTTCCCGGCACGCAGAAAGTACTCGCCGCCCGTTGGCACTAGGGGGTAAGAAGGGGCATGCGGTGCTGATTTATAGGAGGAACCAAGCGTATCCGGATACTTTACGAGACGACACACGATACACTCGCGCTTTTTCACCCTAAACGATCCCGCCGTCCCGCGGAATCATCCTTAATGACCCGGCACCCTTGTCGTCGACGAAAAAACGCCGCCCCCGTGCTTATCCATCTTTTTGAAGGGCGAGAATCACTCGAGAAATTCCCTTCATAAAAGTTCGCCTCGGTATATTTTGGACTTACACGTGAATCGTAATTGCAGTAAATCGTAATTTGTCTATATTACGAAGCAAGTTTCGAAACAACGTTTCGCAATATGGACAAATTACGATTGCAATATTAATTTATCGTCCTCTGTCGTAATCGCACACATTATGTTGAGATTGATTAGAAATATTGTTTCAACTCAACGTGTTTTTAACGCAACATTATATCTTATTAAATCAAAGACGATATATTGCTCCTTCGACGCGATAAATTTTATTGAAACCGATGACAAATACAATCGAAATCAACTGTAGATATTTGTGGCAATCCGTGACACATCCGATGTTTCGGTGAATCAACTACATATTTTTGTTGTTTCAATTGATTCTTTTTCCGTATAATATTCTTAATACGTGTATCGTGTATTTATACACCGCTTGGCTGCGTTACTTATCGCTCGCTCACTCGCTGTATCTCAGTTCCCCGTTTTTTTTTTCACCGGCGTGTTCGCGCCCTTAAGCAAATCCCGTTTCTTCGCGGTGTATCGCCGAGTATCTTCTTCCGCTCTTTCATGAGCTGCACACGTGGTCGCGGTCGCGATTTATCCGTCAAGACTTCCTCCCCGCCGTCGTATCTCCTCCTCCGCACCTGGAGGCGCTCCAACAGCGTCGAAAATACGCCACTCGCGCGTTGGTGGGCGCGTAACACCTTTGGGCACCTGTAGGATGCGCCGGATAAAGCGCATAGAGAGCCACGAGGTGTGTCCTATCGGTGCCGGTTACGTTAATGGATGATCCGTGGCGGCCGCGACGGCGGGTATCACAGCAATCTGTTGTCGACGAGTTGCGTCAGTGGTAGAGACGCTCTCTCGCTCGCTCGCTCGTTAGCTAGCTCGACTCGTGCTCGGAGCTCGTGACTTTATTTTTGGCTATTCGACGACGATACCGTCGACGATTTACGATATTGCCGCCGAGACACCTGTTCCGCGACTACCATCGAGAGAGCTTTCTTACGATCTGAAAACTCGCAGATCGTTCTTCCCGGCGCTCGATGCACAATGTTTCGATTTTTTTTCTCTCGTCCCGAAGAATCCGAGGCATCTTCTTTTTTATTGCGTGAGGCAGTGACGCATCGCGTGGAAAGAATATGTCGAGCGACAGCACACATAGTTGACTAAATCGCAGATTTTCTGAAAGGTGTGCGTATGAATTTTATAATGAAATTGTAAATAGAGACTGTTGGCTCCCTTGAACTGAGCGAAATATTTCTGGAAGGGATGACTGAGACACACACACGCATATACATATCGCCCCATTATTAATAAAGAAGAATAAATAATTTGTAGAGATAGAGAGGAAGAGAAATTCATTTACGCAAATCAGTTTTCAGAGATGTAAACAAAAAGAAATAATATATTTTAAAGTAAACCGCACATTAACATAAAATCGAAATAAAGTTATTTTATTATCAAGATATTTAGCGATTGCAAATAGTAACTTAGATAAGATAACGATGTCAACTTCACGCTGAAGAAATATCAGCTCCTCGAACTCGTTGCGGGGAAGCGCGCGTCCCTCGGAAAATTCTGCATATTCGAGAATTTGTCAGATACGCTTATTCCGTAAATTTGCACGACTCTAAATAGGCCAAAGACAGAGTAACTTACAGGAAAATCAAAGCCCTACCGTTCCCCTCTGTTTTTCTTTTTTCTAATCGCCATACGAGGCGCGCGCTTCGCGCAAAGCGCAAGAGACTACATAGGCGAGCAAGCGGGCAAGCAGGCAGGCAGGCAGGCAGCGGTGGCTTTTTGGTCGACGATTGAATGAATGCCACGCGAGTTAGTCAGCGTCGCGGTGCTAAATTCGGCGGACGCCTGGCGTCGCGCCAGAAGAACCACCCAGCGCACCAACCTGCTTCTACCCTGTAGCCGCCAACGAAATGGCGCCGTTATCATATCTGTTCGCCATCGTCCTTCGTTTAAATAACGCTCAGCCAAGCCGACGAGCGGCGTCGATTCTGTTGAAATCGCTGGAGATGTGGGGGGACCGGCGAAAGAAGATACACTATATTTCCTTCGACTTCCTTTTATTCCATTTTTCGCTTTCTCCGTTTTTCCGCGCATTTTCGCGCGAAAGCGAGTGAATCTGCGTGCAACTTGAAAATTCTGATGTATCGCCTTTCTTCTAGCAAAATGTACAACTAATAATTATGTGTACAGTTGAGAAAATTGAATTAAAAAATTATCATTTCTTAATCGACGAGTTAATTCCTCGCTCGCCTGACGAAGGCTCCGTTATCTCTGAAATACTGTCAAGATCGTTAAACCACCGAAAGAATTGATGTGTATTCACGAATGCGTGTCGCATAGTTCGAACGCAACAGATCTCATTGATTCGTGCTCAATTCGGCCGCGACAATAACTATCGGTCCGATAATCGTCGGACAACTCGTCGAGGGGACAGGGTGGTTAGGCAACCACCCTGCGCGAGCCGGCGTACCTCCTGCGGCCTCCCGCGGCAGCGTGCACTCTCGTCACGCGTGTCGCATATTGCCGAACGGGACCACCACACGTGCGGGAGACCAGGCGGGCACGCTTCTGAGCGCGTGCAGCTGAAGACGAAGACGACGACGAAGAGCGCCACGATGGTGGCGGCGGTGGCGGCGGCGGCGGAGGGTGAGGGAGGCTGCGCTGCTATATGTAGCCCCGAATCTTAGCCGGGGCAACTATTGCGCCCGAAATTGCCGAAGCGAACGCAACCCTTGCGAGCGCCGCCCGACACCTACATATGTATATGCGCCCTCAAATCAAGTCGCAATCCTCCCTCTTAACATCGTGACCCGCTGCTCCCTTTGCGTATTATCACCCTCCGCCGACGAGAAAGTAATCGGTGCCGCGCGAGTGATGGTTTGTGCGTCCTGAGTTGATAAGTATGACTTGTTGTGCGTCCTGAAAAGAACGAAGACGAGGAAGATGCCGCGGGCGTTCCTGATCACACATCGCAGGTACAACGGCGCCGAGGACGAGATCGGGGGACCCGAAAGAGGTACGTTGTTCTTCGTGAGGCGCGACGTTCATGAGCAGCTCCGATTCGATATGAGGAGCGTGTTTGGCAAATTATCATTAGATGAGTTAACATCTGAAGATTGGAGATGGAGCGATTCAATTTTAAAATGTAAAGGAGAAATTGTCGAGTCTTATTAACATAACAATAATATTAATTACAATTTTTAAGTTTATCAGTAATCCAAGAATCTAGCAGAACAGGAAAAGAATAAACTTAAATCATTGATAAATATTCTCATATACAAGCAAGAATTTTATTATGATTTTATTATGATATTCTTAGAAGGATTTTAATCTTGAATTGAATTCAAGTAATACTTGCGTCAATACAAATTCAATCAAATCAAGATTAAAATCTTTTAAGAAGATTATAATATCCTTGCTTATGTTTGAGATTGTCTATCATTGATTTATATATAAGATTACTAATTTCCTTCTGTGTATTTATTAAATTTTAATATAATCAATTGATTACAAATATAACGTAATAGTTTATTGCATATTTCAATTAGTATTGTTCACTAATCTAATTTATCACAGTTCGTTAAAAAGTAATTATCACGCACGATCTAATGTGGAGCGATAATTATGTATATATATATATATATATATATAACATGATATAAATTTATCGCGGCTGTTCTTCGAAATGCGTCATAATATTAACGCCGGCTGTAACTTCGCGAATGTATTCTCGACGTCCGCGCGAAACAACGTTATTCTAACAGCTGAGACAATCTATCAAAGCGGGAAACGCGCAGGATGCGGACTTTATCGCAGAAGAGTAATTCGCGAGACGGGGCGAGATCGCGTAGATTTTTGCATCACTCGTCTTCATCAATCAGGTATTCCCGCTTTCTCCCCCGTCTGAATTCAAGCCAGGAAAATCCGTTGGTCGTTGCTTCGTGATTAAGGTGGTGGATCGCGCGGATTTAAGAATAGGAGACGCTAGATGCGTCACCAAGGCCCACCAAGACGCATACCGTCGCGATGCCGTCAACCCCACCGCGGCGGCAAGCCTCCTTTACGAACGCAACGCGTGTGCGCGTACACGTACTATGAAATACGCAAAATAAACGGCGACGTAGAGAACGACGGACGTGCGGGGGTTGGTAGCGGAGCTACTCTATTTCCGTTCTCCCCGAAAACGGAGCAGCCAGCGAGCCCCCCGAAGGTGCGTCGTGTTTTACGAGCCGCGTCGACGCCGGATTTCCCTACCCACTTACTCGGAATCTATCAGACGACTTGAGATCACACGACGTTCGCGGAAAGATCCAACAAAATGTAACATGACAGACTCCTGATGATAGTTAAGTATAACTCTTCGACTGTATTGTATTTGAAGAAGTATCGCCCGATTGTGCATTACTGGAAGCTAATTGATTTTGAAAATTACGCTTGATTTTTCTCCTCTCTACATGTGACATAAAAATGATCTATAAATAAATAGCGAAAGTTTCACAATCGAAACTTTTTCCGATTACGTTGTCCACACAACAAGATCTTAAAGCGGGGTACAGGTGTAACACTCGTTGCCGGAAAAATTGCTAATCAACTGCTGAAACACCAACGAAACCGGCTCTCCAGGCCCTTCCGAGATGATCTTCTAAGACATTCTTGGTTCTCGTTTAGATCTCAGTGCCGAGAGAAGCTCGAGGTTGGCCGATTACAGCGGCGGTCAGCCAACTTCCGATGGCGCCAGCGAGTGCGGCAGCGAGACGTCGTCCGAGTGCCCCGAAGAGCTGTACAACCTGACGAAGCTGGCGGAGGTGAGCCTGGCGGCGGCGGCTGGTACCCTGATCCACCACAGCAATGTCATCTACCAGCGACCGGTGTCGCCCAGAATCACGCAGCATCCGGAGAAGAGCCGGACGCTAGTGTCCCGACCTGTCGCACAGACAAGCCAGGACCCGATCCTGAGCGAGAGGACCAGGCTCTTCCTCGAAAGGATCGAGACCGAGCGAGAGATCCTGGAAGGTCGTTGCGAGGAGAAAGGGATTCGCCTGTCGCCGCGACACCCCGCCTGTACGCAGGAGGAATCGGCCCTGTCGAAGGTACCGGTCGTTTCCGGACTCGTCGGTGATGATCCGACGTCGCCGGTGCCACCGGTGAATGTCCACAGTCGACGAACGGCCACCACGGACCACACCAAGGCGGACCAGGACAACGAGGATCACGAATGTCCGGACTGCGGCAAGAAGTATTCGACCTCGTCGAATCTGGCCAGACACAGGCAGACGCACAGGTCGCTGGGCGATAAGAAGGCCAGGAGATGCCCGCACTGCGACAAGGTCTACGTAAGCATGCCCGCGTTCAGCATGCATGTGAGGACCCACAATCAGGGCTGCAAGTGTCATTACTGCGGCAAGTGCTTCTCCAGGCCGTGGCTGCTGCAGGGACACATACGCACGCACACAGGTAACCGATATCGCCGTTCGAACGCTGCTGGAGTGAATTGCTCCGCGTGTTTCCCTTTTTTTTTTCTTCTGGCCGAAATCCCACGATTCTCGCGATATTGTTGCTCTCGGTTGTTTCAAATTTAGGCAAACGTGCGTGTAATNCCCCCCCCCCCCTTCCGAGAGTTCCCTTTCAATGGTAGACGCCTCGTGAATAGCTAATGCAAGCTATTTCTGAAGAGACGCGGTTGGTTTAACGGGTTTTCAATGAAGATGAATTAAAATTAACGATATACTTTTGGCACGCTCGAGAATGCGGCACTATTTTCGAGCACAACTCGTAGATACGTGTCTGCGAAGTTAGTAACGCGGAGCGATATACGAGTATCTGTGCTCTTCAACGCGTCTAATTTGCACATTAGGGCTGATTAATTGAGATGTTCATTCGGAAAAAGGTCAAGCGAGAAAACGTACTATATTCATTGGGAAATTCCGTCTTCCACTGTTTTACCTCTCAACACTTTATTCTCATCATTGTCTATCTTATTAAATTCCAATTAATCATTTTCTCCTTTTTTATATTTTTACATACATGTTGTATACCTTTTCTTGTTTTTTTTTTCTAATAATTTGTAACAATAAACGCGCCATGTTCTTTGAAGAGTGGTTATTTTTTTGTTACTATTTTTTCGGCACCTGTTATTAAGGTAGAACGGTTTTATTCATAAAGGAATCAGAATATACGTCGAAAAGTCTTCACATTTCCGATAATCGCCTTTTCCTCTCTCTCTTTCTCTCTCTCTCTCTCTCTCTCTCTCTCAGGCGAGAAGCCCTTCAAGTGCACCATTTGCAACAAAGCCTTCGCCGACAAGTCAAACTTGCGCGCCCACATACAGACGCATTCGAATACCAAGCCTCACGTGTGCGGCCGTTGCGGCAAAGCCTTCGCCCTGAAATCGTACCTCTACAAGCACGAGGAGTCGTCGTGCATGCGCGCTCACCACCGATCGTCCTCGGAGAAAGCCGACCAGACCGATCAGCAGAGCTCGTCGTCGGTGAAACCAAGCGCTCCGTTATCCTCGTCCCTGAACAGACCGCAAACTACACCGAGCGTCACCGCATCGCCTACCAGCGTCATAGTTCCTCGACTGGGACCCGAACGGGATCAGAAGACATCGGCGTTCTCCGCGATCATCAGGCACACCAGGACGGACGCGGTGGCGCCCTCGAAGCGACCTTGCAGAGAAAAGACACCCTGTCCGGACGATCGAGAGAGGCAAAGCCCGGATTCGCCGATGAAGGATCCGGAATACGTGTCCAGGATGGTCATCAGGACGTCGGTGATATCTCCGAATCCGGAACACCTGCTCCGTTTCGAAAACGACGTAAAGAGTTCCTCGACTACATTCGATTACCCCGATCCGACGAGGCCTTCGGCTTTCTCGAGGCCCACCACGATGACCTTGAACCTAGCTATCGCTTAGGAATCAGTTGACCAATGCTGATGCTTAGACCAAACCGGCCGTCTTGATTTGTACTTATTTTTTTGCAAAGTTTCACGGACAAGAAATCCCCCGCAGACTCGATCTGAAATCTATAGCGAGAAATTTCTGACGAAGTCCACGATCAGAAAATTCTTCATTCTGTAAAACTCTATAACTTGAAAAATCATCGAAATATCGAAGATGAGACTACAGTTCCGGAAGATTCAATCGACGATTTGAAGAACGAGATTTCGATCGACGGGCGATTATACAGAAATGTCCCAAAACTACGGATATCTTTTCAATCGCTAATTACTTTAAAACGACTCAGAGAGACAATCTTTTTACAACAGGAACCCGGTTGAGAGACAGAAACACCATGTTTTATCGGCGTGTACAATTTTCAGCGATGATTTAGTGGTGTTGCGCGCACATCCTATGCAACTTCGATGGCGTTTCTGCAAGCAGGGTAACGAGAATTGTCCCAAGTGTGAGCGTCAGTCTTCCCTTTCTTACCGCGGTCGAACGAAGATTGCTTCCGGCAATGGTGAAATTGCAAATTCACGAATAATCGATCGAGTATTTGCGCATGATGGATATTATTATTATTCCAAGTATCTTCCGAATTAGGGACCACCTAGCGATTAGTCGTAATAACGTTAAATCTGTAAGCCGTCGTGTTTAATTTAGCGACACCAAGTCGTGCCTTATGTGTAATAAATAATCGGACACCGCGTGCGAGCGTATTAATTCGGCTTAGTTGACAGAACTCCGACGGGATTGGCGTGCACGGATGCGCGTAGAGAAAGAAATTTCCGAGGTGTTAGGCCGCCCTGGCGAGAACGCCTGCTAAATGCCAAACGTGTGACCTCACCTATTTAAAGACATAGCGCCATCGCCGTCGCGCCGTCGAGAGCGCGATTAAAATTGATTATCGACACGAACTGAACCGCAGTGTGCCTTCGCGTCTTATTATTGTCTTAGAATTAAATGACAACGGGTCGAGGCTCTTCGAGGCAGCTAACAAGCTCGACGAGATATAGCGATGTACACGTATAGCGAGTTCCCAAAGCCCTAGTGAAAAACGAGAGGTTTTTGTGAGAGGCGAGCTCTCGCAAACCGTAAACGTCACGTTGTCACTGTCGAAGGGATCTTCGTAAGCGTGTCAGGATGCAGCGTCGGGATGCTCTCATAAAACGGAGGCGTGTATCTGTGATTCGGAATTGCGCAACCGATTGCCGACCGAAAAGCCGGGCGATGCGGTCATTTGTTTCGAGTGGATGCACACGAGACAAAATGTTTCGTCGAATTTGTTGAGAGAGAGTGAACAAACCGAACGCATTTTGCTTGAAGGAAACAGAATGTCCGCCTGTGAAAACTAAATTTGGATCGTAAGGAATGGTCAATTCAAGCAAACTTTTTTTTTCCGTGGTCTAAAAGAAAAATCACCGATATTAGAGAATACCTGAAACAAGAATGTCGAACCACTTGTATGATATCGAAACTCGTCTCCTTCTTCCTCTCGGAGCATCCAATATAATTGTCGAATGAGCGCGTCGTTTGGAGCCCCGGCATGAAAGTCGCGCGTTCTCCAGCGGCGAAGTAATTGTAACGACGATAAATAAGTCTTCGGTACCAGGATTTTGGTAGCGATCAGAGTGTCGAGCTAGTCGAACCCGTCTCGCCGTCCCGAACGTAATCCGCCGTCGTGGCGAAGCTCTCGGGGGATTTTGCGACATTGCGACGAATCCTCGAAATCGTCAGCGAGCGTGTCACCCTTCCCGCGGGGATTCAGCGAACGGCGGGATAATTACGAGCTGCGCGGATGGCGACGGTTATGATAAAGATTGCGCGTAATAAGTGTAAAGTAACGTCGCGCGAGATCGCGTCTCGCGCGGTTTGCCGAGGGATCCGCTCGCGGCTGTATAATTATAATTGGCGAGCGCGATTCGGACGTGTGCGTCCTAGTCATTTCGATTCGATAGATCGCCCTCCGACGATCGGACGGGAGTAGGGAAGCCCGATCTAGCCGCGTTAATAACGTAGCCGTGTTGACCGCACGTTGTAAATAGCATTCCCACTTTTACGTATTAGAATTTAGACGCGAGATACCGCTCGGTGCCAGTCACTTTTAGATAGCTCGATTTATTACACCCGTCGTATATGTATTGTGTATATACTACTACTACTACTACTTGTACACCGGAGTGCCTATGTAAAAGAAAAAAAAAAAAACATTTATCCACTTTTTTTACGAATTATAAAAGTCTTGTCTATCGTAACGAGAAAAATATACGAGATGATATACGTGTATATTTCCTTGCCGCATTTCTCGCCCTCTTCACGTCGACTGCGTTATCCGAGAGAATGTATCGCGGACATGTCAATCCGAAGAAATTGGATTGATGCGCGATAACACAAAGTCAACTCGGACGGACGATGAAGTTGTAGCGTGTTCCTTCGGAAGTCGTGCCGAAGTAATTTAATTCCGTACCTATCGGATTGCAATACGCGTATTCGCATAAAGCTTTCCGTTCAGCTTCTCGTTCGCGTCTCGCTTTTTTCTCATTGGATCCATTATCGCGCCGATGAACCGTACGATCATTAGCTACGCCTGGTAGTAGGATAAACAACCGCTAACTGTGTTTAACAAATAGATTGAGCTCGAGAATTAGGGCAACTGAGGCGAAAGTGGCCCCAACGAACGATGCACATTTACATCTTCGGACACGAGTGGAGAAACTCTCGCGAATTCATTACTGCAAACTGGTACTCGGAAATAACGCGACACAAATGGCGACATTAAAAAGAATCCCGACCAACAGATTCGTTATCCGCCTCTCTGAAACTGAATTCGCGAAAATTTCTTGATAAGTATTTCTTATGACAAAGAAAGTAATTCGTGTGATGAGGAAAATGAATTATACATATAAAATAATAATATTATTACAGATGTAACGTAAAATAAGATGCTTTCGTAAGATCGAGCTTCTCGGTGTCGATCGAAGGGAGATCCTTGATTCGTCGCAGGATATTTACCTACAATACACTTTTCGTATCAGTGATGACCTCTTGACTGAAAGTTTCCTCTTTTTTCCGAATGCAACAAGATGATACCTCGAGTCGGTGATAGCTTACGAGCCGCGTTATCTTTCGGTAACGAGATCCGCAGTGACAAGATGAGACTAAACGAGATAGCGTGACACACACGAGTGTTTATACGCACTTATATCACGGAACGCGTACACTCGCACTTCCCAGAACTTCTACCAGCGATTCCTTCTCCCGCCTCGCGATCACATAGATCCCTATGGTTCCCAGCGGCACTCCGTGGGACCGACTATGAGACCGAAGAAGAGACGTAGAGGAAGAAGCGAATAGAACTAGTGGGAGTCGGTGCCGCGGCATCTAACAGGGTTGGATCGTCGTCCAGACGTCAGTCGTGAAGAAGATCTCGCACAAGGTTCGAGCCATGCGGCCGTACCTCGTAATCCTGATCTTCCTCTCGAGCACGGTACTTGCGCGATACCACGTAAGTTTTCCCGACCCAGTTTTTTTCATTTCCACTGAAAGTTTTGTCATATAATAGCTGAAACGTCTGTGCATGTATGTGACTGTGTATGTGCGCACGTGTTTGATCTCGCAAATCAGTAGACGCTACAATAACGCTAAAAATGAAGTTTTAATGAAATTTACGGTTTCGACAAAAAAAAATTCCTGTCGGTTTCACATATTCTTCGCAATAAATTTTATATATTAAATCATTTGTCACAACACACACACACGCACACACATATATATACGCAAAATACACGCAGAACCTGGTTATCGTAGATTTATTAGAGAGTGAATTTTAAATGTTGGTAAAACGTTATACAAAATAATTAATAACTGCTTATCTCTCTTTTTTTAAATTCCCTTACCATATTTCGCATGGCGTTGTGAAATTCAGCGAAATTACTGGCGCATATCATTTAGGCGCGACGACAAATGCAGAAATGCGATCTCTTACTGTGTATTTGAGTGACACTACTTGATATTTCATTCATCACGCGATAATTTTGACATTGTATATTTAGACTAAAATATTGCTATCACGCTAAACAATGTTTTTCATAATTATTTGTTATCAAATGTAAAAGCGCACGATAGAAATCGTAACGATTGCTGTTCTCTTGCGAAGAATGAGTATTAGATAAAGTTAAGTGTTTTTCCCTCAACGTATCATTTCAGAATTAAATATTATTCCTGAATCTGCTATTTATGTTCCAATTATACAATATTTCCCTATAGTTTATAGGTTATTAGCACAGGTCATACGCTGATGCATATGACTAAAGAGACCATTTAAGAAAGATTTGGAGGTCAAAGTTCACGTGATAATAACATACGATATAGACAGATTCATGAGGCATTTATAAGATAAGGACAGAGAATAGAAGATAGAAAATAGCTTAGCCTGTTCTCAATGTATCGCTATCTTTTTTCACCCCCTTCTGTCAACGCTGAAACCTCTTCGATGCAACTTCCGTGCGATACAATGTACAAAAGTTGACAGCAATTATAAAATATAAATATATTTTATTTTATATATAGAATTATTTTAGAATCGTATCGTGTGCTTGTTTATGTTGAAACAATTCTGCGTATTATATGATAAGTATTACTTTTCTTTTTTTGGAAAAATGCATATTGTAAACAATTAATAACTAATAATATTACTTGCAGGAAAAAACACGTTTTGATCGATCTATTCACGATAGAAATGAAGTGAAAAACGCAAGTAATGGTAATTCCGACAAAAAATCTTTTACCGATGACGTAACGGTAAGAAATTGCCTATCAATAATAATAATAATATAGAATGCAAATTAAAAGAGATTTGTTGGAAACAGCAATTCGTCGCATACAAGAGCAAAAAGGATAACGATTGCTATCTTGAGAATATAAAGCCGGATGAAAATATACCGCGCAGGAAATGGCAAACGAAGGTACTCTATGCATCGACAGCCCTTACAAAACTGGAGGTAATGACGAAAAGAATTTGCGGAGAAAAACATGATATGGTTTTCAGATATGAATTTTATCTTACAATTTGCCCTTAATATTTCGAACGTAAATAGGCATGGCGATTCGCTGGAGGCCGTATCGTTGAATTTTGCAATGGGCGAAGCTTCATCTTGTTACAGCCAAATAAACCTATATCCATAGAAACTCTGGATCCTTTCTTGAACGAAATCCCAATAGACGAGAACGACATCTCGTCAAGACGAATAGCCGATGTGGTATTAACGCCGCTGATAAGTCGCACGAGAAGAGAAATTCAGTTGGGGCAACGCGAGACGCTGAATCAAAAATTCGGCCGATTCCGACGACGTCGACAGACAAGTCGGTTTCGAGGAAAGTTTCGTGGGCAAACGCAATCTCAGTACTTGAATGTTGGTGATGGCGAGCAGAAGGAAGGCAAAGCGGAGGCTGAATCTACTCAACAATCTTCGCGCGCGGTAGTCAGTAAGTATCCCCTCTTTACGCGTTCAAGAAGAATTATTAAGAATTATTACTGCAAGCTGTACGAATTGTTTTTCCAAGAGAGACCAATTATCGTGCTTTGATAGCTCGTACAAACATTTTAGTGTCTGAAATATTTATTTTTTCAGCCGGTAGCCGCGGCATGGGCCAAGCACAAAGTATGTCATCGGGTGGTACCGGTTGTGAAGATTGTCCGGGATATCCTGGCATCGAGATTCCGGATAAGTTACGAGTTCCATCCGTCGGTATCATACGTCCTGGAACGGGCGTTCTACCAGGAGGCGTATCTTATCCTGGAGGTATTACTCCAGGTGGAGTACCCGGAGCAATTGGTACTTATCCTGGCGTTCTTCCTGGAGCTAGACCAGGAATTTATCCTGGGAGTGTTCAGCCTGGCGTCGTAACGCCAGGAAGAGATGGAACGTATCCCGGAGGTCCCGTTCAGCCTGGAGTAGTATGGCCAGGAGGTGATGGAATATATCCTGGAGGTGTTCGGCCTGGAATTGTAACTCCTGGTGTTATACAGCCTGGAACCGTCACACCAGGTGGCGATGGAATATATCCGGGAGGTGTCCGTCCTGGAGTAATGATACCAGGTGGCGATGGAACATATCCAGGAGGTGTTCGTCCTGGAATAGCGACACCAGGTGGCGATGGAATATATCCAGGAGGTGTTCGAAATGGAGTAGTGGCACCAGGTGGCGATGGAACATATCCAGGAGGTGTTCGTCCTGGTGTAGTGACACCAGGTGGCGATGGGACATACCCAGGAGGTGTTCGACCTGGAATAGTGACACCGGGTGGCGATGGGACATATCCAGAAGGTGTTCGTCCTGGAATAATGACACCAGGTGGCGATGGAATATATCCAGGAGGTGTTCGACCTGGAGTAGTGACACCAGGTGGCGATGGAACATATCCAGGAGGTGTTCGACCTGGAGTAGTGATACCAGGTGGCGATGGAACATACCCAGGAGGTGTTCGACCTGGTGTAGTGACACCAGGTGGCGATGGAACATATCCGGGCAGTGTTCGTCCCGGTGTGGTAATACCAAGTGGCGATGGAACATATCCCGGAGGTGTTCAACCTGGAGGAGTAGTATTACCTGGCACTACAACGACCGGAATTGGGACAGGCATTCAACCTGGTGTTCAACCGGGACAAATTACTTTTCCTTCTAGTAGTGTTATCACTTCAGTAACGACAGGTGCGACGGTTACGGGTACTGGAACTTACCCAGGTGGTATTACACCTGGAACAGGCCGGCCAGGCGGAATATATCCGGGAGGCATCTTACCAGTCGGAACAGGTGAAATTTATCCCGGAACTGGGATCCGTCCCGGTACTGTTCAACCGGGAACCGTCTCAGGAACGTATCCTGGTGGCATTGTTCCGGGAGGAGTAACAGGTCAAGGAGTTTACCCTAGTGGCGCGCCTTACCCTGGAGGAGCTGGAACTGGTGTCGTACCAGGCGGAGGTGTCACTTATCCAGTAGGATCCGGAAGCCTGACTCCTGGCATGGTTACGACCACAGGTTCGGTATCTGGTGCTGGTACGCAAGTGATAAGTTATCCAGGCGGCCGGCCAACGGACGGTCAAGTGATTTATCCGGCCACTGGAGGTGTTATTCAACCTGGTAGGATTCCTGACGGGACAAGCGGTACCCAAGTCACGTATCCAGGTACGGGCACGTATCCTGGAGGTGGTACCGTGCCAACTACTTATCCCGGAAGCGGTCAACCTCAAGTCGTGTACCCTAGTGGCACGCAGCAAGTTATACCTTCTACTGGCGCCCTCTACCCTGGTCAGCAAATTTATCCCGGCGACGGTAGGCAAGTAACGACATACCCAGGCGGACCGTATCCGGGCACAGGCATAGGGATTCCGGGAACAGGCGTTCCAGGAGGTATTCAGTATCCAATCGACACAACGGGAGGTCCAACGACAACGATTGGTGGGACAGGAGTCGGCGGACGGTATCCTCCTGGTCAATATCCAAGCGGAGTCGGCGGTCAAGTAGTGGGTGCGCCTTACCCAGGAGTAGTGGCACCTGGTGCCGATGGAACATACCCGGGAGGCGTTCGTCCTGGAGTAGCGGCACCAGGTGGCGATGGAACATACCCGGGAGGCGTTCGTCCTGGAGTAGCGGCACCAGGTGGCGATGGAACATACCCGGGAGGCGTTCGTCCTGGAGTAGCGGCACCAGGTGGCGATGGAACATACCCGGGAGGCGTTCGTCCTGGAGTAGCGGCACCAGGTGGCGATGGAACATACCCGGGAGGCGTTCGTCCTGGAGTAGCGGCACCAGGTGGCGATGGAACATACCCGGGAGGCGTTCGTCCTGGAGTAGCGGCACCAGGTGGCGATGGAACATACCCGGGAGGCGTTCGTCCTGGAGTAGCGGCACCAGGTGGCGATGGAACATACCCGGGAGGCGTTCGTCCTGGAGTAGCGGCACCAGGTGGCGATGGAACATACCCGGGAGGCGTTCGTCCTGGAGTAGCGGCACCAGGTGGCGATGGAACATACCCGGGAGGCGTTCGTCCTGGAGTAGCGGCACCAGGTGGCGATGGAACATACCCGGGAGGCGTTCGTCCTGGAGTAGCGGCACCAGGTGGCGATGGAACATACCCGGGAGGCGTTCGTCCTGGAGTAGCGGCACCAGGTGGCGATGGAACATACCCGGGAGGCGTTCGTCCTGGAGTAGTGACACCAGGTGGCGATGGAACATACCCAGGAGGTGTTCGTCCTGGAGCAGTGGCACCAGGTGGGGTCGGTACTGAGACAGGTATCGGCGGGACTTTACAGTACACGCAAATTGGAGCTGGCAGACCGACCGGTGTGGCGGATGAAGATGCCGAGTCGCAGGCTTCAAGTTCCGTACAGCAAAAAGGCTCGGGTACACAAGCGAGCGCTTCGGCCCAGGGTAGGTACGGCCAGGGCACGGCTCAGTCGCAAGTTACGGGCACCTACAGCGGCTCTGGCACTTTTTCCGCCCAGGCTGGCAGCAATGACGCCAACAAAAGCGCCCAGGCTGAGATCAGTGGTGGTGAAGACGGTACCGGCAGCAATGCCCAAGGCGTGGCTGGTTACGGGAAGAGTCAAACGCAGGTCCAGCTGAATCCAGACTCCGGTGCTACCTTGACAGGTGCCCAGAGCAGCGGCTGGAACCACGGCACCAATTCTCAGGTGCAGGCGAATTCGAAGGGTGGGATGGCGGACGCCCAGGCTAACGGCGAGGGTAGCACGTCCAGTCAGGCGCAGATCGGCTTCCAGCCGTATATGGGGACCGACGAGAAGGTGGAGCAACACGCGTCGCCGTTCCGTGGCAGCGGCACGGCGTCGGCTCAAAGCGGCACTCACAGGGGCCAATCTCAGTCGCAGCTGCAGGGCTCCTTTCAATACGGAATCACCTACACCGGTGCTGCGCAGGCCGGCTCCGGCTCCGGCGCCGCGTCCTCCCGGAAGCCTTTCAGTTTCAACGAGACGGAGCTCTTCAAACCGTTCCAGCCTCTGAGAGAACCGGCGAACACCGGTAATCAAGCTCAGTCAAGCCCACCAGCTGCCGGTTCAGACCACGAGAATAGGCAGGGCGAACAGGGTCTGCAAAGCAGCTCGAGCTCGCGACAGACCGTCGTTATGGGCGTCAGGAACAACAATCCAGAGGACTCCGCTGACAAGAAAGTGCTGGCTACGGAGAAACCGCGAGCGGACGACACGATGTACGACGAGTACGACGACGAGTACGCGGACGAGTACTACGACAGCAGCAGCACGTCGACGACGACAAACCCGGTGAACAGCGGCGTGAGAGCCTTCACGCGCGGCAAAGTGAAAACCGCTCAGCGACAAAATCAGCAGACGCAGGTGACGCAGGTGATCAAAGGGGAGCGGTACGACGTTCGCGTCAGCCAAGACTCCAATTCACCTCGAACGGGCGACGTCCTGCAGCCGGGGCAATCCTTGATGGGATACACGGTGCCGGCCGGATTCCGCGGCAGAGTGATGTCGATCTCGGGCACCGAGACCGTCGCCCAAGGCGACGGTAAGTCACAGTCGCAGACCGTGACTCTGCTGCCGAGGAATTCCACCAGCGCCGTCAACAAGCCGTCAGCAGCCACGGAGACCAGGTCGCTTCAGACCAATCATGAACGTCACGTCGATCGTAAGGCCGGCCCGTCTTCCGGGCAAGGTGCAACTTCCGATAAGCGCACGAGACCCGTCCCGACTTCCGTGGCTATGAAACCGAGTTACTACACCGTGAGCAACAGCGTCGCCGGCAAGATAAACGGCAGCAGAGCGCAGAGACAGTACGAGCATCGTTATTACACCAAGAGTTCCACCTGCGGCTACTTCACGTTCTCCTGCAACGTCGTGTACGGCTCGAACGGCAGGACGAAGATCTGCAAGCCGAAAGCACCGACGTATCCCGACGGCACGCCCATGAGATGTTGAGCGAGCTTGAGGGAGACGATCATTATTCTCACGCATAATCGCTTCCGCAGAGCATCTTGTCTCGTCGTACATCGACTCGCTCGAGTGTAGAAACAATTGATTGCTTTCGCGCGCGCACCGCATTCATGCATTTTAAATTCAAACGACACATTCCACCCGGCAGCTTAACGCCATTCGCACACGTGAACACGAAGATAAATACGAAACGGGAAGGCCCAGTCTTATGGATCGGAGTTTGATCGAACTTCGGATCCATAAAATCGGGGACTCGCCGCATGTGTATACTTTGATACATTGTAATGTTTTTTATTGAGGTATTTGAAAAATTATCGACTGTATAGTGAACATGTTGCTATATCAATCGCTGCTATTTATTATTAAGTTTCTGTCAATAAAATACACTTTATTTTAGAAGCAGAGAAATTTGCCTTTCATCCTTTCTTCTTGTTTAGTTAGGAAAGATAATTAACTGTAATAATTCGATTTGTCGTAGATCATTTGTGAAGGGTTCGCTCGAGTGTTCTCTATTCACGCCGCAGTGTAACATCCGCATAATATGGTTGCGGAGACCCGCGCGTAGATAGATTATTATTGTTCTCTGGTGCTTTATATAGATATTGACATAAAAAGTCCAGTTATAAATATATCAAGTATCGTATCTTATACATTCTACATTTTGCTACTCGTTTTCGCCAGTCTTCCTCCCGATGACAAAACGTGATTTCATTATATATATATATATAT